CCGATGTCAGTGTGTTGCGGCCAGGATCCCCACTGCCGCTGCTAGGGCCCCGGGCTGTGATGCAGTGGAGTGGGAGGGCCTGCGTCCCCCCTGCCACCCAACCCATGGGTGGCAGTCTCCCCCTCTCCCAGGCCTGTTGAGGCTCAGGCCTACTATTGTTGCTCAGCCCTGACTAAGGGCCTGAGCTCCTGATTCAGCGTTTGTTGCCCTGCCTTGACCTAGGGCCTGGGCTAAATATTCCTGCTTGCTGCTCAGCCCTGACTGAGGGCCTGAGCCCTGACATAGCATTGGTGCCCGCCCTGAGCCAGGGTCGGGCTTACTGTGTCTTCCAGGATTGCCAGGGCTGCAGAGGGAGACCCTGCAGCCGGACAAAGTACCCAAGCACCAGTGGGTAGTGAGCCGGTGTGGCTCCCCGCCGCCCCAGAGAGGGTCGAGCCCCAGCAAACTCTTGTACAGGCAGGGACACACAGAGGCCAGGGGGCAGGGACAGGCAGAGACCATGGGTAGCACTACTACAGGAGCTCAGACTGCTTGGGCAATGTGCTTTAAGGCCCCAGTTCAGCAAAGCACTTAAGCATGTACAGTCAGGGCCCAAGACACCAAGGAAAGTGTTTTAAAATACCCAACCCTCCCACAACTTTCACATTAAACAAATGCCAGTCCCAGGCGCTCTCTCTCGATCCGTGTCACATGATCACGGAGCTAAAGGAAGCAACTGCTCTGTACGTGCACTCCCTCGTACTGCAAGTTGGGGCTATAAAAAACTCCACAGGCGTACATGGACCGGTGAGCAGCAGGGGACAAGGGCTGTCAATGAAAGCAAGCAGCCAGACCGAAGGTAACCCCGGAGCAGCCACTCGATTCTAGGATCGTGCACCAAAGAGGAAGATCCTTCCACGGGCTTTAAAAAATAATGGTGCACAAACACTAAAGGCTCATTCTGATTCAAACTTCCAACATACCTATTTGTATAGGGCTCAGCTGTACCTGCTCGGGCCGGCCTAGCTACGTCTGCACTGCACACTAAGTCTGGGGCTGTGGGATCCAGGCTTGTGGACTCAGGGGTTCCAAGCTCATGCTTGAACATCCACACTGTCTTGTAAACCAGGATTTACACTTGCTGGACCTGGTCTCGGAGCCGTGCTAACACGTCCATACTGCACCATTCTGACTCATGTCTGCAGCTTGACCTGCATCCACATTGCAAAATGACAGGGCTTGGCCCTGAGTTGCAGTGGGACATGGACTCTGACCACCCCCCTCGCAGGGTCCTGAGGGCTTACTGACCTGAGTCAGACTGATCTGTGTGGACAGAAAGGGGGCTCAAACCGGAGTCAGAGCCCAGGTTTAGTGTGCAGTGTAGACGTACCCCCTAGCGTTGGAGGTGGTGCAGGAGGCTGAGGTGGCTTTGTGACTCAGACAGGCATAATGCCCTCTGGAGCTCCGCAGAACACAGGAGAAGGAAGGACCTCCCCCTGTACAATGGGGGACAGTGAGCTCAGCCAGTTCTACTGGCTGGGGAGGAGAGTAAGGCTACGTCCCCATCTCCTCCTGACCTCACCTTTTTGCCAGCACTAGAGCACACGTGAATGATGGCAGCATGGTACAACGGGACTCCGGAGAGCCGGGTGCAGTCCTGTCTCTGCTATGTGCCCTTGCATACATCAGTTCACCTCTGTCCATCTTCCCTAATTAGACTGCATGCCCTTTGGGGCAGGGACTGTCTCTTACCCACACTTAGCACCTAGCACCATGGGGCCCTGAGAGTATTATGATGAGCGGGACAGGAGGAGGGTGGATGGGGACCAGAGCTGCTATGAAATAAACGCTGTTCTTAACCATTCACTCCTAACCGAAGGAATAAGGACAATGGGAGTGGCTGACCTTTCCCCATGACTCTTGTGAACTGCCCAGGGAGATCCCCTTCAGGCAAAGGTGCCCCTCCAGACTCGCCCTCGCAGCCAGGCAAGTGGTGCTGCTGTATGCACCCAGAGGCAGAGTCCTTGCAGTCGGAGCCTTGGCTGTCCGAGCCGATCAGAGAAGGCAGGTGGTGGGAATCCAGGTCCCGGCTCTGGTCGTCTGTATTTGAGTTCTGGGAGCAGTAGGCTTTGATCGGGGTGAGGATCATTTGGTGTAGCTCCTGCAGTGGGATGCGCAGGTTGCCACCTTCCAGGATGTCCTGCAGATTCCAGACAACAAAAAAGATTAGCAGCTGGTATGTCCGCAATCTCAATATGCCGCTAGCTGCCTTGAGCTCAGCCATGCCGCCTCAGTTCAGCTGGAACACTAGAACATTGCTTCCAGAAAAACAACCTCCACAGAAGCCTCTTCTAGTGTTCCTACTCCAGGACTTACTTGTCCTGTGTGCTCCATGTTCAGTAAGTTGGTCCATTTAATTAACTGAGGCTTTCACAGAACCGTTTTAACAGAAACAGGTAAGAACTAGAACTTCAAGTCTGAAGCCACCTGAAACCCTCCTGCCCCATTTTCAGGTGTGCGCCTTCACATATGAACTCCTGAATCTGAACCCACTCCATGAATCAGGTGGGATCCAAAACCGGTGCGAGTCTCGCGCCCAGGTCCAGTGCAGATGCCGCCCAATATCTGGTGAGATTCCCACCCTTCAAGAAAGCAGAGGCCTTGCAATTTTCACAGGAATCACATGAGAACAGCACACGAGATTTCAGCGCTGTCTACCTTGCACAAAATTCAGTCTCTAACCTAACCCTATCCTGGCTCTGGCTCTCAGTACTGCCTTCTTGGCCCATGTCTGGCCCATCTATCCATCCACATACCTAAAGCCCTTCTCCAGGCTTTTATCAACTTGTGTCTCAAATGCTGCAACACGCTTCTTCCTGGACTTGACAAATGCAATCTTGCCCTGCTCATCGCCACTCCAAATGCTGCTAAGATCATTTTCCCACCCAGTTGCTTTGACCATGTCACCCCTCCCCTGGCTCCGCCTTCTCTATCATATCAAACATAATCGACTTGTCCTCACTTGCAAGGCCACGCATGGGCTAACCCCGGCTGCTCGCTTGTCTCCCATTCGCTGTTGAAAGGCTGGTTCCTGCCTCCCATGATGCCAATCTCCATCACCCACTTGTTACATTTTCAAGCAAGCGCCTTCCTGTTTTCTCCCATGCTGCCCCTCCCCCTGGCAGGAGCTCCCTATAAACATCCACGAAGTCACTTCTTCATTCTCCTTCAAACCCCGGCTTGCTTCACAGTGCCCTGCGACCACTGCCTGTCATGCTGACCCATACTGTCTCCTTGTCCTCCCCGTCTGTTTCTATCACTAGTTGTCTCTCATCTTACACTTAGACTGTAAGCTCCTTGGGGCAGGGACTGCCTTTTTGTTCTGTGTTTGTACAGCACCTAGCACAACCTGGTCCATGACTAGGGCTCCTGGGAGTTATGGTAATAATAGTACCACCACCAGATATGGTTTCTCAGCTTTGAAGCGGCTGGGGCAGTATTACTGTAGCCTGGAACCTGCCTACAGAATCACAGCGGTGTGAAGGCACAGCTGGTCTTTGGGTCATGTCTGGTGAAGGAGGAGTGATTGGAGAGGGAGATATTTCACTGGAATACTCCATGGGTGAAATCCGGGCCCCACTAAAGTCAATGGGAATTTTGCCAGTGGAGCCAGAATTTCACCTCATATTTCAAATGCGATCTTAAACCCCCCCAAACATTTATATTCCTTCCAGTGGTTCAGAATGTAAAATGTTGGCTTCTTAATCCCGGCAGATTGCATATGTGTGTGCATCACAGCTGTTCTCCTTCTGCCGTTTGGGTTCAATCCTCCCTCCCTCCCCTGGGGAAACGCCAGCGAGGAAGGCGGGAAGGACTGCATCTTGTTCTTAATATGGGCCAGACTCGTCTCCAGTTTCTCAGGCTACTGGGTCCCACTCAAACTGCTCCTGAGGCATGGCTTCCGACACAAAACCAGAGCAGACGAGCTCCTGGGGAAAGCGCTCTGGATGCACATATGAAACATACATTAAGAGAAAGCACATGTGGTGTCACAAGCCAGCCTGAGCTGCGGGGTGATTGTTTATTTTTCCCGTCACTCTTCACCATCTGCACTCCCGGCTCCACCACCCTGAATTACATGGAGTCGGTGTGCAGCTAGCCGGGGACCCATTGTGTTAACCGGGTGCAGCTCCTTTACGGGAAGAAGGAAACATACGCAGGAGACGCTTGCCCAGAAGATCAAGTCACACACATGCTCCTGGTTAGTTAAAATAAGGGAAGGAAAACTTGAAAACCAGAGACACATGCTCCTAAGTAATACAGCCCATGGCCAGCTTTTACTCATGGGCCGCACTCAAAACATCCTCAGAACCAGAACCACAGCCCCAGAGTCCAGACAAATCCCACTATATTGCTAGCAATCAACAGCAAACCCTACTATTTATCCCATCTTATTGGATAGCCTGCGTAGCTCATTGTGTCAGCCAAACTCGGGTTACATTCCTGTAGTAATGACAGTCAATCAATACCATATTTCAAACTTCATGAAGAGGAGGGGGAAGAAAGGTTGTGAAATTGCCTAGAAAACACATCTACAAAGCAAACTCAATCCCACCGCCTGTCTCTTGGATGTAATGATTGTTATTAATGTACAGAGGGAAATACGGCTTTACTAACTCCTACAGTTCCATAAATAAAATCCCGTAGTTTAAACATGCAAAATAAAGTGGTGAGCTAACCAAAACACCAATAAATAGCAATGCGTAGCGTAATTATTGAACAGCTCCCAGTCAGAGGCTGTGCATAGAATGATTGAAGCAATATAATATAACAGCGAAACAACCAACAGCGTGGTGTTGGACTGAGTTGATACTGGCGGGTATGCGATGCTGGTGCTTTTCTGACGGCTCCATCAGCTTCGGCAGAATTTAAATTTTCATTACAAAGAACAAAAAAAAGTTTGACCTCTTCTGGCTGCTGAATGTGAACGGATGCAGTGCTGCTTTCCTGAGTCTTCAGCCAGCCAGCCTAGAAAACTCACTGTGGTAGGCAAGTCGTGCTCCTCCTCTGCAGTGGGGGACCACCAGGGCTGTGGGATCCCACCCAGGGGTCTTGTATCCCATGCATGCCGAAGCTCTGCTCATGGTGGCGCTCTCCTCTGCAGTGTATACAAGGGAACAGAGCAGCAGAGGGACCTGCAGGTGATCATGTGGCTTCATCTCCCATGTGTCACACGTGAGGGGTGCAAGTACCAGTGACACTAGTGACGTGGAGTGGCACTCCCTGGCTCGCACAAGGTACATCTACACAGCTGGAAGGGCGAGTCCCAGCTCGGGTAGACATACACGTGCGAGCTCTGCTCGAGGCAGTACACTAAAAATAACAGTGTGGCTGTGGCGGGACGGGCGGTGGCTCAGGCTAGCTGCCCCAGTGTATAACTAGGGGGTTGGGCACTACGGTACTTGGGTCGCTTGCCTGCGCCACCACCTTGGTTGCCGTGGCCACATAGTATTTTTAGAGTGCGAGCTCAAGTAGCGCTAGCACGTGTACGTACACCCAAGTTAGGAGTCATCTTCCCCGCTGTTGGGTAGACGTGCCCACCGAGAGTGGGCAGGCGGGGTCCAGGAAAGGGTGGAGCAGTGGCTTCAACTCCAATTGGCCAGGCAGTGCCAGGGCATGTATGCTGTGCTGCAGGTTACAACCTCCCGGAGCTGGGGGGAGAACCCGGAGGCAGCTTACGTCGCTGTACCAAAGCCAGTGGGCAGCCTGCTGGTAAAATGCCGTGGTTGGTACAGCGTTGGGTCTGTGATACAATTAACCAGACGTGGCCAAACCAACAAAGAAAATGCTCAGTGAAAAAGATGCACTATATGGGAAATACCCAGCAATAACCAAAAAGGACAATCTGAGAATTAATTCCTGGCTATTGTTTTAATTGAAAAAGAAGCGGAAATAACTTACCCTTTCTAAAGACTTGAGAAGATTCTGCCTCTCTTTCAGCTTCTGGATACTGATGACTATTTTGTGCCTTGCACCTTTGGTAACATTCTGCGAAGATACAGTACAATGTGACATTAACATCTCCACCAGCCAGCAGGAGGCACAAAAATCCTCTCTTTCGTAAGTGAAAAGGGCTGCTGTTAATTCAAGAAACCTCTGAATTCAGGGATTATCAGAGAGGCACAGGGTCTATGGAAACAGCTTAGAAACCCATTGAAGCTATCAATTTCTCACTAGCTTGTCCACCCTCCTTTGGAGTGGCAATATTTATAAGTGCTCACAAGGGACGAAAGGTCTTCGCAGCGACTTAAGAAAAATGTTTTTAAATCCAGTGTCAGGTCTGGGAGCAGAACTGCAGGGCTCAGTGACAGCACACAGTTTTCTGTGATTTGAATCAAACAAACACTTGGCCGAAAGTGAAAAAATTGCCCTCTGCCACCTGCTGCCTTTGTTCACAGTTTGTTTGCAGTTGTTCACAGTTCTCTAGGGAGCTGACTCGGCAAGCCTTACTCTGGCTGAGTAGAATGTTCTGTACACTGGCACTAGGAGAAGGCCCACTGACTCCAATGGGACCACTTGTGTCATTAAATGTACAGATCTCACTGCTGTTTTAAACTATTTTGCACAAGGTGTGGCAATGCTGAGAAAAGCAATCCTCAAAAAAAACCCTCTCAGAGTTAGGAACCAAAATAGCGGCACCCAGCCTGATTCACTATCGTGGTACTCCAGTTTTATGATGGGGTAACTCGACAGTGTTATCCCAGCTCCACATTGGTGTATCTTCACTCGTACCCTGACATAAAACTGGAGTAAGGGTGCGGTGAATCAGACCCACTGGCTCTAAGAGAGGTGTGAGAAGCTTAGGCCTGGTCTACACTTAAAAATGAGTCTACACTTAAAAAATGTCATGCCCCAAGCACTATAGTTAGGCAGCCCTAAGACCAGTGTAGACACAGCTAGGTCAGCGGAAGAATTCCTCCATTGACCTAGTTACCGCCTCTCGGAGGGGTGGATTAACTCCATCGACATGCCCTTAGAAAGCTGCCTGGCCCCTTTCATTTTAAGGAACACTTGGCTCGGACATTGCTGGCTTCCTTCCTCCAGTGAAAGTCAGTGTTTAGGACACGTCTACACTAGCACTTATGTCGGCAAAACTTTTTTCACTCAGGGGAGTGAAAAACCCCCCCCAAGCTCCTGAGCAACATAAGTTTTGCCAGCATAAGCGCTCGTGTGCACAGCGCTGTGTTGGCGGGAGATGCTCTCCCACCGACATCACTACTGCTGCTCACTGAGATGGTTTTATTCTGTCGATGGGAGAACTCTCTCCTGTCAGCATAACGCGGCTACACAAGCGCTCTTACAGCGACACAGCTTGTAAGTGTAGACATGGCCTTAGTGAAGGCTCTAGAAAGCTTACAAGGGGCTGAAGAAATTGGAAGTTAAAAAAAAGACCTGGTCAAAAATCAGCTGAGCAGCTGTATAGGCCTTGAACCCCAAAAGACCACAGTGTCCTTCTCCTGCAATGAAAGTGTTACCAGACCATTAATTCCATCAAACTTTTGGAATCACAGCTCAGAGGAAAACAGAATCCATTTGCAACATGACAGCAAAGATGCTAATATCTAAAGATGCTAATCAGATCTATTTATCCCAGGGATAGCATGGAAAGCAATCTATTAAGGAGATTTTTTAAAGGAACAAATAAGTCAGTCACCAATAAGTCAGTCACCAAATTCCTGTTGATTTTCAATGGGTGTTGCCATTTGTGCCTCTGAAAGTGTCTTCCTTAAAGCTGAGTGGTGAAAGCCAGTGCATATCTCCCATTGACTTTGATGGGACTAGGATTTCAGTCTCTGACTCCACTGAGAAGCTATTGGCCAGGTCATTTTAGGGTACAATGTGTCGTTTACCCCTCACCCCTCTCCCCCAGCGTGTTTTTGGCGGGTTTTTTTGCCATGTTAACAGATGATGCAAGGTTTTCAGGGAAACCTATCAACAAACTGAACAAACAGAGCGTTTTTAATCGTGATAACACTAGAAAAAATGCAACGTGACTAACTGTTTTATAGCAAATTTGAGACATACTTGTGCCTCGAGCTGGCATTCGGTCAGTGCCATCATTTCTTCGTATGTCATCTGGGAGAAAAGAGCTGCATACTTGTGCAGGCGGAGACTCTTCAGCCAGGCAGGAACATCTGCAGCACAAAGGCAAGTCGACAAAACGCCCTGTTATTTGATGACACTATTTAACGACGTCACATAAAATCCACAACAACAACATGAGGAGTTTATTAGGCAATGGATTCCTTGTGTTTTCCACAGTACTGATAGCTCCAAAAATTGTATTGCACTTTGATGTTAGCAACGAAGGCTGGAACGTGCCTAAGGACATACGTCCCAAGTTCCCACTGATTTCAATGGGGTTGCAGATGTATATTCATTGGCAGGATCAGTCCCTTGATGTGGGGCATTTCCTATTAGATTTGATTGCCGTTTATGAGCCACAATGAAGTCGTTTACTGTCTTTTGAAGATTCTTCTTAACTCCCTGTTCACATTATTGTTTTTAGATCCTAGTGTTACATCTTAGAAATATATTCACAGCACCGAGACAAGACAGAGGAGATGACGTGGCCCTTTGATCAAGAGTCAGGTCTTACAGGGTTACAAATTTGGCAAATAAATAATTAGACGCAGGACTGGCCTTAGGGAAAATGGCGCCCTGGACGAACTTGTATTTTGGCTCCTGCCCTTAATACTTCCCTCAACGCCCCAGTGCCTGCCAGGCCTGGGCAGCCAGGTTAATCCCCTCCACACCCCCCGTGACAGCCTGACCTTGGCTGAAGAGCGGAGTGGTGATGGAGAGCACTGACAGCACCATGCCCCAACCCCATAATGGCCCCATAGACGCACTGAATGGGGAAGGGGCTCCTGCACTGCGGCACACCCCATTGCAGAGCTTTATGGGGCCACCGTCTCCTCCCACTGGGGCAGCCCAGATTCTGATGGTGCTGGCAGGAGCAGAGAGACAGCCCCGCGGGAAAGCAAAGGGCATACCCGGGGGGAACTGAGCTCCATGACCGCATGTGCCCATCCGCTGGGTGCTGCTCTGCATTGCTGCTGCCCGCAACTCTCATGCCCCCTTTGTCCTGCTGCTGCTGCCTCGGGCCTCTTCTGGGCTCACTGTGTAAAGAGGCGGCGTGTCTTCTTGCTCCCCTTCTCTTCCTCATCCTCTGCTCCTTCCCTCGTTTGCATGGTGGCCCGTCTCCGCTCATCGCTCTTCTTCCTCACCCCCCAACCCCACTTTCTTTGCTTTTCTCTCCTGCTCGAGGAATTGCTAGCTCCTGAACAAAAACCTTTTCCTCGACGTGCCTGTCCAAAAGGTCTGTAGCCCAGGGTCCCATTGGGGCCCCCTACCCCCAGACTTTCCAGGCCCCAGCCCTGTCCCCCAGACTCGCCAGTCCCCAGTCCTGCTTCGCCACAGCACCCTCTTGGGTGGTCACCCACCCCTCAGGCCGGCCCGTAGAGTCATGGGGTCGATTGGCGCTTGATCCAATACTCCCTGGAGTCAATGGAAAGGTTTCCTTTAACTTCAGAGGGCTTCGGACCAGACCCCTTTGGTCACTGGGGATGAGCAGTATCTACATATTGAAATAGCTGACCAAGCCCTAAATGAGGGCTAAGAACTCATAAAACTCCACTGTTGCACAATGAGAGATCAATGCCCGGATGGAACCCCTATTTTAGTGAGCGCAGGGTGCATCTACACGGGGCTTGTGTTGGTGTAGTTACATCAGAGTAGCTGCAATGCTGTAAATACCCCCAGGAAAGGGAGGCTCTTCATTCCCATATTTTCTGGACTCTGAGAAATTAGTAAGTGGGTTTTAATGAAAATGAACAAAACTATTTCCACCACCACGTATGCTCACACACACACTGATAGATGAACAGGGAAAAAAAATTGAAATAACCATTTAAAATGGTATAAGGAAATCTTAATTTTTTTTCTATGTGGAAGAACCACACGCTGTCACAGCTGGGTGTGTAACAAAATTCAGAAGTGTAGCTTAGTATAAAATCCAAACTCCATCGTATTACCTGAAACATGCCTTCTTCCCAGTTCTAGTCTACTGCACAACATCTTACCTGGCTCAGCAAAGCACTTAAGCACGTGCTTAAGTTCCACTGTTGTCAGGTATAAACCTAAGTACTCTGCTAAGCAGGGATGAATTTAAGCATGTGCTTCTGGCTACGCATACGCTTAAATGCGTTGCTGAATTGGGGCCTAATATCAGAATCTGAATCTACCTATTGTTGTTTTAGCATCACGTGTCCTTTTAGACTATTGACATTTCCAACAAACACCCACTTTGCAGAGTTTTTGACAAAATAAAAGGTTGTGGTGATTTCTTATTTTACTGTATTTTTTGTTCAAGTCACTTAGAAATGTTATGGTTATAACTCCCAGATCAAGCAATAAATGCATAGAGAAATGGTAGGTAAAAAGCCACTGTGGGAGGAGGATACATAGATCTTTGGGGATTGTTTGCAGTCTATTCCTGTCAAGGGTCAGGGTGAGCTCATCTTCCAAGATTCCCTACCCCTGACACAGATCCAAATGGCTCCATGTCACTATGACCTTCCTTTCGGAAAGGAGGACTGGACAAATCTCCCTCTGCAGAGGTGTTTGGTATATTCCTGGATTGAGACACTAAGTGCTCCCCCTACAAAGAACCCGGCACACGCTCAGCTCACAGCAGCCTGGAAGCTGGACGGACTTTTGCTTTGATCCTTTGCTTACTGAAATCAATGGCAAAACTCCCACTGGTCTGAATTGGAGCCGAGTGGGCATTCTGATTGCTGCAGTGTTACTAGACCGTCAAGTCTTGTATGCTGGTAGGGTCAAGCCCTCTCCTTGCTGGAACTGCTCGGACAGGATGGTGGCAGCCTGCTCTGGATGGGAGAACACTCCGTAGTGCAGACAACCATTCTGTAGGCACGCCTTCTGTGCTGCCACATAGGGAGAGTTTGGTGATGGGCCGGGAGAAGATTAAAGTTAGGAGTGGGGGGTCTGCAACTGAGTGGGACCTCAGCCTATTTCCCCCTTTGCAAAGGAAAAGGGGCGAGACTCACACAGCCCTGATGCTGCAGTAAATATTTTTAAGTATATGGAGATATACCTATCTCATAGAACATGAAGGGACCCTGAAAAGTCATTGAGTCCAGCCCCCTGCCTTCACTAGCAGGACCAAGTACTGATTTTGCCCCAGATCCCTAAGTGGCCCCCTCAAGGATTGAACTCACAACCCAGGGCAATGCTCAAACCACTGAGTTATCCCTCCCCCCAGTAACAGCTGTGCAGTGGCTTTGCAGTATGTTGGGAAGGACTCCTCCTTACCCTGGTTGCTTGGGCTATTCGCTAGAGTGCGCTAGGCCCTTCATGAAATATTTCTCAGGAGGTTGTAAATTACAAAGGCATGTTACAGCTGCAGACAGTTCAACTTTAACCAGTTCCAGCCGCATCAGAAGGGCATGTTCCCACAATCTCAGACTCTGAGTCGTGATTCCCTGGGCTGAAAGTTATCTAGTGCCGGCTGTCACTGGATTGGAAAGCCTTGAAGTATGTTCCTTACAAAAATGGTTATGAGACGCTCAGTTAACCTAACATTGCAGAAAGATTCAGTGGGGTGAACCTTCAAATGCAGCCACCTAATTAGGCCCACACCCTGGGTAACTTTGTGCACAAACACATGATGAGGCACATACAGATACGGCGTTTAGGTGCACAATGGACAGAAGAGCAACCTAAGCTCCTTCACGTGACAATTTAGCCCGATATGTCTAACCCGCCCCCTGCCTCCATTGGAACAACCATCTCACAGCACCTTCCTCAGCATGTCATACCAGTGTAGCTATTTCTCCAGGTTTGGGTACATGGAGAAGTTTACCATGTGTTCTGCGCGTTAGCCCCTTTTGAATGTCTTCGTGACAATGTCCCAACATCTTCCTGCTTGACCTTGGCTCTTGCACATAGAGGAGCTGTTTGCTGAAGGTCTCACCCCAAACTCAATTCGAAAGTAAACAGAGGAAATACCAAGTAGCCCAGTCAGCAGTATTTAGCTCAAGTTCCTTGGCCTCAGTCACCATCCCAGGTCATTTCAATTAAATGACTTAAATGCTAGATTTTGAGAGGTAAGTAAGAAAATGATAATTGCAAAGCAAACATGGGAGCCAGGTACACACCAATCCTGGAAGGTCTCAAGTAAGCACTATTCCAAAAGCCCTGACATGCAACCGTTTTACAAACAGTCCTGTTAGGCCCCTTACCCCAACTGCAAGCTGAAGAGTACAGCAACAGAAAGCCTCTGGTTTCTAGTGTAAATGGATGTAACCCAACCCAGCATGAGCACCTATTTTAGATTGTGGAGCCACATCTGTCCCCATGTCCCCAGTGGGCATCTGTTCTCAGCAGACGCTGCTAGTAAAGCATGTTGGGACGAGTCAGGACGAAGGTTCCAGCTTGATGCACACGATTATTCTCCATGAAAGACGGCACTGAACCTCAGGTCCGAACCACCCTCACGCTCTGCAGAACTTCAGCCCACAGCTGGGGCCCATCTCTGCCTGTGATGGGGCCCTTCTCACTGGTAATGCTTCCACAGGAAGTCCGACATGTAGCCTTGAGGAAAATGGAGTGGGAAGGGCCAGACGGTGCTCACAGCACTGAGCCCATCATAAGGGGCTGCAGTGCAGAGCCACACGACCCCAAGGGGAGCACCAGAGCTCTTCAGCTCCCCTGTGCGCATAGAGTTTGTGCAAACCGCTACATCCCTGTCGCCGACTAGCAGCCTCCCCCCACCCTGCACCTGGCCAGCCAGCTCCAATGGGGGGCACATAGTGGTGGTGTTATAATTATACCTTAGGGCATCACCCTGCTTTCTTGAACTAGGCAGGGGGAATCCTTGAGCTCCCCTCAGTGCAGAGTCTGCAATTCTATGAGCTGGGGGGAGGGGGAGAGGAAAGCTCCTTACTCCCCCTCCCCACCGTGCATCGGCAAAAAGGCCAGATAGACTCTAGCCCCATGAAAGAAAAATAGGATGCCAAGGGCAGAAATTACAAGGTGCTGAGCTCTTTAAGACAATGTAATGGCAGTACCTGGAAAGTCACCATGCAGGATACAGCTCTTACTCCCTAAT